CTTTGTCAGTCGGTGGAAAGGAACACATATGAAAGCGATGACCTTCGATAAATCTTTCGCGGAAAAAATACTTTCGCGAACCTCATCGCGAATCTTTCGCGGATGGTTTTAATTGCATCTGAAAGGCTGATTTATATAAAACTCCTTACACGGGGTTTTAGATCAACTCCCATATAAATATATTATGAATTTCCAGATTCACCACTGTCCAAACACGGCAACAGAAACACATTGAAAAGAAATAAGAAAATCCATGAAATCATCCGGATAGTGGCACACGAGGCTCTTCTTGAGGGCAAGGTTCGTCTGGAAGATCATCCAACACATCAAGAAGACGTGGCCCAAGGAGCAAGCAATCGCTGCGCCGGAGGCGCCCAAATTGAAGGAGTTCACCAAAGACCAGCACAAGGGTACATAGCCTAGAAGTTCCACTACACCACCTGCCGCGCGATTTTCCAAGCCATCGCACCGCGATAGCGAAGGACGGTCGAACATGTTTCTGCCTCAAAAAGTGGACCGTCGGGATGGCAAACATGAGGTGGGCGAAGGGTCTGTGGTGTTTGTGGCAGCCGGTGATTGCCCGAGTTGGACACAAAAGCAGACAAGGTGGATCTTGTTCGGCAGAACCAACTGTTCTCTGCTGAGAACGAGTAAATCGAGATGGGGGGTCCATCCAGCTGCTGAAATTACATTAAGGGAAATAGTGATTTCCAATTGCCCAGTTTGCACATCCGGCAGTTGAAATTACATGCCAATGAACATTTATGGAAACATATGGAAACTATATACAACAGTCTTCCCTGGGCAGTTGATGCAGGCTTGGCCCATGGAATTCCCCGTTTGATCGCCCCGACTGGCACCTGTAGCCTGCATCTGCGTCAAGCGTTGTGCTGCAAGCCATTTCTCCAGAATCACAGCGACAGCATAGCCTCTGTTGGGATTTGCAGCTGCATGCAGCTGCTTATGGAATTCAATCACTCGCATCTAAAAGACTTCAGTATACTTCAGTGTTTGAGCCTTCAGGATTCGTTGACTATGTACTGGAATATCTTCTTTGACCCCTGCACCAAATGGTGGACATCTCAACCAAACGACAAGAGCCAGTTGACAAAGAGTGGTTCACGCAGTAGCCACTGCAAGGTCAAGTATGATTTACCTGGGCAGAAGGGCTAGCATTAAGTTGTGGCAAAAGTAGGCAGAGTTCTGGGTCAGGTCCAACATTGATTTCAAGGAGTTGGGGCGATCTCAGTCTGGCGATCTCTTGCTTCTTGAGTGTGGCCATGTGACCAGGTGCTTGTGTCTGACCAAGGAGCAGAAAAGCCCAGGCACCAAATATGTCAGGTACTCTCCAGCGAGGGAAGCGACAGCATCTTGCTGACCGCAAGCCAGAAGGAAAGCCCTACCATTGATCCACAAGAATGCCACCGGCACAACAATCACCAGGGAGAGTAAGAAACACCTGCACATCACGGTGAGTGACCTGACCTATCAAGAATTGACTGAATGGTTTACAGCTGACCTGACAGGTCCGAAATTGCGATGGTTTACGCCGGCGACACCCTTTTGACAGCCTTGCTGTGTCTTCTGAGGTACAAGCATGATCAGAAGCAATCTGAAGACTCAAACCAACAGCTACGCAACGTGACCTGACCATGTAGGTAGGTGTGATATGAGGATATATGAGGTACGGTCAATGTGTACTAGATACTTGAGTGGAGGCCTTCGCTACTTGGGTGGAGGCCTTCGCTACTTGGGTGGAGGCCATCGCTACTTGGGTGGAGGCCTTCGCTACTTGGTTGAAGGCCATCGCTACTTGGTTAGAG